TTCTCTGGGGGAACATGCATGTCTCTTAGGTTCCTCTTTGTTTCATAGCCTCTCTGGAGGTGTAGATTGTAGTAGACTGGTAATCATTTGCTCTATATCAAATACCCATATATGAATGAGTACATACCTTGTTTGTCTTTTGTGACTGGATTACCTCACTCAGGATGGTTTCTTTTAGTTCCATCCATTTGCGAAGTTCAAGATTACATTATTTTCCACTGAGTAGTACTCCACTGTATAAATGTACCACATTTTCTTTGTCCATTCTTAGATTAAGGGCTATCTAGGTTGCTTCCATGTTTTGGCTACTACAAAAAATGCTGCTGTGAATATAGTTGAACACATGTCCTTGTTGCATGAATGTGCATCTTTGGGTAAATGCCAAAGTGTTTAATTTTTGGATCTTGAGGTAGACTGATTGCCATTTTCCTGAAAAACCTACATACTAATTTATAAAGAGGCCACACATGTTTGCACTGTCATCAGCAATGGAACAGTATTCCCCTTTCTTCACATCCCCTCTAGCATAAAGTGTCATTGGTGTTTTTGATTTTAGCCATTCTGACAGGAGTTAGATGGTATCTCAGAGTTGTTTTGATTTCCATTTCCCTGATGGTTAAGGATGCTAAACAATTTCTTAAGTGTCTTTCAGTCATTTTGGATTCCTCTATTTAGAATTCCTCTATTTAAGAATTCTCTATTTAGATCTGTTCCCCAATTTTAGTTGAATTATTTAGTGTTTCGGTGACTAGCTTCTTAAGGTCTTTGCATATTTTGGAATCAGTCCTCTGTCAGATGTGGGCTTGGGGAAAATCTTTGCCCATTTTGTGGACTGCTGTTTTGTTTACTTGACTGTGTCCTCTTACAGAAGCCTCTCAGTTTCAGGAGGTCCTACTTATCAATTGTCAATCTCAGTATCTATGCTACTGGTGTTATGTTTAAGAAGTAGTCTCCTGTACCAATTTGTTCAAGGGTACCTCCCAGCTCAGCCGCTAAAGCCTAGGCTCACAACCAAAAATATTTGTACTTTTCAAAGTTCGTTAAATAAATTCACTTTTGGTTCTTTCCTATTGCTTGATTATGCAAGCAAAATTTTTATTGTTCCTGCTGTAACTGTACTGACTTTTTTAAAAAGAAACATAAAAATCTCTAGCCAAAAGTTACCCAGAAACCAACATAAAATGTAGTGTAAATTCTACAAATCTAAGTGTAAGAGATCAAGATCAATCTTTTATAAAATAGTGTAAAATATCATGCTACCTGAAACACTATGTGGGGGTGACAATCTTTGGGCATTCTTAGACGTTTTTAACCACAAAGCCAACATGCCTATTTGAGATGAATTTGCATATTTTTCTGGTTGTGCTTTCTCACTAATGATTCATTTTATATGAACTTTTCTCATGACCATTACAGCAATTTGTTTCATCCCTTTCCTCTTTCTGTGCGTGTGTGTGTGTGTTTGGGGTCTTCATGAACTGAGGCTTTGAATCATTCTCTTTTGTGCATTTTTCATTACCTTTCTGATGATTAGCACATTTTGCTTGGCTTTAACTGATGTTGATTAAGTCAGAAATTGAATTTCCACCTTCCTTATTGTTTTCATTAAAGAATATTGTTTGATAAAATTCTGTTACTAAACTGATGTGAATATTTGAAGAGGTTTTGCAGTAACCACTCCATTGAATAATAAATGGAGCATGTTCAGTACTAACATTTATTTACTTCTACTTCCCTTTGCATCTTACCACAAGTCAATGATTCCTCACAGATAATCTTTATTTTGACTTCCAGTGGCACTTTCGGCCTCCTTGAGTTTCTTCAAAATAGAGTAGACAGTTTGTACTTTTGTGCATGAATTCTTTTATTCCATTACATTTCTGTGATATTTTTAATTTGTTCATTGTTTTATTGTATTATTTAACTTTACATTTTAGATACTTTTATAAATACAGTAATATTTATTCCCCTATTCTTGTATAAAGAGCTATTAGCGCTTTGCATTATTATGAATTCTGCTTTGAAAATTTTTGCTTATGACTTTTAATGGATATCCATACTCAGTTTCTTAAACAGAAATCCAGAAACAAATTGTTCTGTCAAAGAATATTTGTTTAAGTCTAAGTAATACATATCAGTTCTTTAATACAGTTTGTCTCAATTTATACCTCTATCAATAATGCAAGAACATTCTGCTTGATGCCTGTCTTCTCCAAAGTTTAATAATATCTATTACAGGGTAAATATTATAGCTATTTGATAACAACACATTTCATGTTTTAATTCATGGTTCTGTGATTATTGATGTAGTTGGTTATGTTTAAATTGACTTTACCTTGCAAAGATTATCACCTCAGCTATTTTGGACTGTTCTCATATTTGATATTTTATCATAGTTATCCTTTATAAAGAATAATAGGAGTCATTTTCCATACATTGTATTGCATTTATCTATGGCTTATCATTTGTCTCTCCTTTTTTTACTAGCTTTCAATGCACTACAATATTTAACTTATGATAGCACTCATTATTTTTTCTTTATTATGGCAAGTGATATTTATGCCTGTTAAAGACATTGTTTTTTCGTTTGTAGAGAAAATGAAGTTCATTTCTCTACTTTGTTCTGTTATGAAATTGCTTTAATTTTAGCATTAGGAATGAATCCACTTTTAATTCATGTTTACATAAAGAAACATGATGATTAAAGAGGTTTGCCTTTTTATCAGGACATTTGTTGGTTAACCACACTAATTGAAAATAGATAGGTAGACCAATGGAATTGAACACACCGATATTAACCCATACACATCTGATCTTCGACAAAGAAGCTGAAAATATAAAATGGAAAAAGAAAGCATCTTCAACAAATGGTATTGACATAACTGGATGCTGACATGTAGAAGAATGCAGATAGATGCATGTCTACAACCATGAACAAAACTTAAGTCCAAATGGATCAAAGACCTCAACATAAATCCAGCCACACTGAACCTCTTAGAAGAGATAGTGGGAGGTACCCTTGAACGAATTGGTACAGGAGACCACTTCCTGAACAGAACACCAGCAGCACAGACACTGAGGTCAACAATTAATAAATGGGACCTCCTGAAACTGAGAAGCTTCTGTAAGGCAAAGGACAGAGTCAGCAAGCAAAAAGGGAGCCCACAGAATGGGAAAAAATATTCACTAACCCCACATCTAATAGAGGGCTGATCTCTAAAATATACAAAAAACTCAAGAAGCAAGTCTCCAAAATACCATGTAACCCAATTAAAAATTGGGCTACAGAACGAAATAGAGAATTCTCAATAAAAGAGTCTAAAATGGTTGACAGGCACTTAAGAAAGTGCTTAATAAATATGCCTCGCTATCAGAGAAATGCAAATCAAAACAACTCTGAGATATTCTCTTACTCCTGTCAGAATGGCTAAAATCAAAAACACCAATGACAGTTTATGCTAGAGGGGATGTGGACAAAGGGTAACACTCTTCCACTTCTGGTGGGAGTGTCAACTAGTACAACCACTTTGGAAGTCAGTATGGAGATTCCTCAGGAAAAATGGGTATCAGTCTACCACAAGATCCTGCAATTCCACTTTTGGTCATATACCCAAAAGTTGCACATTCATACAACAAAGACATCTGTTTCACTATGTTCACAGCAGCGTTATTTGTAGTAGCCAGAACCTGGAAACAACCTAGATGCCCCTCAACTGAAGAGTGGATAGAAAAAATGTGATGCATTTACACAATGGAGTACTATTCAGTGGTAAAACAATGGAAACTTGAAATTTGCAGGTAAATGGATGGCACTAGAAGAAACCATCCTGAGTGAGGTAACCCAGTCACAAAAAGAGTAACATGGTATGTACTTACTCATATATGGATTTTAGATATGGATCAAGGGAGTGCCAACCTACAATCCCACTGACAGAGAGTTGTGGAAACAGAACCTTCAACCAATGACTGATAAAAGCAGAGGCAGACATCCTCAGCTAAACAATGAGCTGAACTCCTGGAATCCAGTGACAGGGAGGACTGATGAGCATAGACGTTAAGACTGGGCTTGTTTAACTCACAGAAACAGCTGACCTGAACAAGGGGGAGCTCTTGAACCCCAGTCTGATGGCTGGAAATCCAGCATGGGACTGATCCAGACTCCCTGAATGTGGCCTCACCCTCCCTGGGGAAAAGAGTAGGGATTGGGGAAATGAGGGGTGGGAAGGCTGATGGGAGGGCATGAGAGGAGAGGAGGAAGAGGGAGAGGGAGCTTGGATTGACATGTGAAGCAACCTTGTTTCTAATTTAAATTTAAAAATAAAAAGAAAATAAAAAAAGAAATAAGCATACATGCCGTATTGAGTTACTGTGAGTTTTATTACTAATAAACAATAAAGTAATTGTGTTTATATGGGTATTTTCATGGACTTGTTCATTGAATGTATGAGTATAGCCTATGAACTAACTAGTAGTGTCCCACAGGCCCCTTCAGGGAATTTTTATGATAATAATCCTGGATGAGCTCATTTGTATCTGTGATATAAAAATTTTGGACTAATAGATGTAGAGAATAGAACAGTGACTGTCAAAGGCTGGGGAATAGAACCAAATGATGAACAGACCCTGTGTTTCCATTGGACAGGAAGAATAAACTTTAGTGACCTGTATTTGTACAAAATAATGAAAATAATAAGTAAAGCTGCTTTTTTATCCATTTTTATAGTTACATACATTTTTTATGCTAGTCTGTGATTTTGGGTCTCAGTTAAATATTTGAGGACCTATTAGCCATTCAAGTTTTGTCCTTAAAAACTGGATTATATTTCTTATGATGTATTTTGGTTTATTGGGCCTATTTGGTGACAGTGGGACTTGTATTTCTATTCTTGTGAAGGAGGAGATTTTTCCCAGGCTCAACTCACCCACTGTGTTTCTGTGAGACTTATACCTACTTGATCAAATAGATTTCCCTGCGATATGGTCTCTCTACTTACCTTGACAGTTGGGAACTATGCCACCTTTACTGTGGGAGGTAAAGTTATTTAGTTCTGGGTAGGATTCCCAAGTCATCATGCATTACTGGTAGTGGTAGGCCAAGAAGATGTTGTGAAAACTAATATTAGGATCTGGAGCAAAGAAAAGTGAGTCTGGCTGTCTTCTGTTGTTAATAATATGACAAAGAATTCTGGGCTTGTATCACAGTCTTCTGCTTTTGGACATATGGAGAGATAGATGTGAGTCATCTGAAGGTGCTTTGTGTCTAATGTCCTGGATTTTCAAGCTCTCTTTTTCTTCATTTTAGGTGTCTCCTGTAGTTACATCTCATGTTGTTTTCAAAACTTATGTCAATTCTTACCCTGATAAGGACAAAGAAATGAATCTACTTTATTTCACCTGAACCAGAGTTATGAAAAGTCATTTTGTGATACAATTTTATGTATATTGTTCAATACTCAACAGTGAACTATGCACTTTTCCTCCACCCTGTTCTGGAGCAAATTGTGACTCAACCATGATAAATGAATGAATGAATGAGTGAATTAATTAATTAATTCTACCTCAAAATAGTTGTCTTAAACCTTTTAAATATGTAATTGGATTGTGTTTGCAGTTGTGCAAAGCAGTTTTTATCTACAGTGGAAAATTTATTGAAATTGCTATTTGCTGATTCGAGCATTGTATTTAGTCATGAGGAAATGACAACAAATAAAGCTCTTGTTGTGCCAGCACAAGGACCTGCGTGAAGACCCATGCATAAACAAATGAGTTTTGCAGTGTCCATACTTGGAGCTGCAAGGCAAGCAAGATTCTTCCTCAGACTCGGTGGTCAATATTGAGCTATAACAGCATGCTCCCGCTTCACTGACAAATGGCCTATCTCATAAATGAGGTAGAGAATAAGAAAGGGGTCCTGTCACTGCTACATCTACAGTCACAGATGTAAACAGGTTCATACCTATATGCCCATATAAACCCTTTTCTCCTCAAAATAATAAATTACATTAATATGTTACAGAAACATTACTGATTTTATATCTGTAGCAAAAATTCATCAGCACCATCTGTATACAAACAGATGGAGGATATTATTATTATTAATATCTTTAATTTTGAAAGTATAACATTTTTACAACCTTTCCTCCCTGTAAACCCTCCCATTTACTCTCTTTATTATCTCAAATTTATGGCCTCCTTTTTTTTGTTTCATATATATCACATATACATTACATTTATTTAATACATATATTTCTTAATATATAAATATGACCTGCTCTGTCTGTTTTGTGTTACCTGTATGTATATACTTTCCAGACTGACCATGCGTTTTATCCTTGTTGTGAAGAAATTATCTCCTAGAAAATGATAAAAATATATTTCTATGATAATGTTATATATGGAAAGAACAAGTGTGGATTCTATAGTGCTTTATGTGAAGCACTAACATTCCTAACATGAACTCACCAATCTTTGATGTAAACATTCACTATTCAACTTAGAAACTCAGTTTTGTAAGTATTGCTAGCTAATACGGAAGAAGATATACATTTGGGTGCCAGAAACACATTGGATTTATCAAAAAAGATGGCATGCTAGCGCCCTTTCCCAGCTTTTTGACCTTTATGCTAGCAGGGTAGCATTATTTCATTTCTGTTTTATTTGAAGGGCTCAAAACACCTCATTTACAAGTCTTGCTTTTTTCACATCTATCTTTAAATCTGTCTTGGAAATTAAGGTGGTGTCCCTCTCTGAGCTCTGCCCTTTCTTCAAATTGTGACAAGGATAAATGTCTAGAATCTCTTTTAGGAATATGAGAGGATTCTTTCCCAGTCTCAGACTCTAGTTACTATCTCCAAATTTCTGTCTCATCCTTGCCAGCCCCATCAGAGATCAACTGGTTCCCTCGATGGGAACAGCTGATGACGTCAACATTTCTCCATTCTGTTGGTGTGTGATCTGTCAGAAAAAAGGAGCAAAGTGCCTGGCTACTTTCCTGGAGAGAAGTGAAACACAGAATCTTTCAAATTATTGCATCGATATGTCTTTCTGCCATGATGACTAGGATATTAGACACAAACCCAATGCTTGAAACAGGTAATAATTATTGCAAAAGATTGGAGTATGAGTAAGAAATAATTCTTAACCTGGATAGGGTTAGATTCAGTGTAGTAGAAATGGATATTCAAAGAATACATGTAACACATGAATGATGATAGGAAGATTGCATAGTGCTGATGCATCAATGTCTACTAATTTAATGAGTACAATGAGGTAAAAGTAAATGATTTTTTGTTTTCTGTATATAAGAATATACATAGTAAATTGTAGTTTATAATTCATGGAGACATAGTAATGAGGACTGACAACACAAAGTAATGACAAACTAGCTATAACAATAACAACGGTGCTGGTAAATATAAAAGGAAGATGGAATGAGATGACCTTTGTTTCCTCTACATCAGTCAATGTCACTGTTATACTGCACGTATGGCAAGAAACCAGATTAGACACTTACTTTCATGTTACAAATGCCATTGATGACCTTTATAATAATAAGACTGTTTCTTTGATAGCAAAACAGTGACAAAGATCACAGATAAATAATTTGTATGGCACTTTGGGGAATATCAGTGGATATTTTTGTAAATTCTGTAGAATTGAACAACATCTAACAGTTGAGACATTAAGGCAAAATAAATATACCTGCTAATTTGAATAAGGAGCTATAAAATTTATGTTATCTGAGAAAGAAAGCGTATTCTTCTACTCCCACAATATGCAAAGTATGTACTGAGGTTGTACTAAGCTGTATGATTTTTACCAGTTACTTACATTTCACAGTCTACATATACAAAACAGACTGAATGTGTTTCCTGTAGGGGCAAAATCAATGTACCCCTAAACAAATGCCCTCAAATAAATACATTTTTCATGACAAATGCTGTCTTAAATATGATATTAGGTTCTTCATTTTCTAGATGATTCACCTTTTCCTAAGCCGGAAATAAGGTATTTATTCTTTATCTCCTGTGTAAATGTCATAATACCACAGGTAATTTATTTTCCATCATTTTGTCAGCACAGAAATACTCTAATTCTGCTTACTGGAAATTGCATTGCATTTTGTGTGGTGCATGTTCCCTGGTCTCCCAGGGTGGTTACAGATGCATATATCTAAGTTCTGCAATCCAGCCACTTACTACTGTAAAACCATGAAGAAAGCATTATTTTTAAATTAAAGCTACTGTTTGTTAAATGACAGATTGCTAGTTAAAAATAATACATAGCCCATGGGTTTATGTAAATATGAGATACATAATTGCTATATGTGCTGTGAAATTGGTAGTGAGTGTAGAGAAAGAGTATGCTGGAGAGAAAGGCAGGTTCTTATCTCAAGTGTGCATAACCAAGGAGTTCTTAGGGCCAGACACACAAAACGTTCAGTGAAATGGATTCTTAGATCTTCGTCTCAAGAGTCAAAATGAAATTCACAGACCACAAGAGGGATGAGCCTGAAAAGAAATCACTACAGAGAGAAAGCTTAGAGAAAAAAATGTTTAAGGGTTATAGAAAGAAAGCAGAGCGGGGACTGAGGAGATGCTCTTGGGTAAAGGCTCTTGCTTCAGACCCTGACCAATTTAACTTCATCCCTCAGACCCACACTGTGGAGGAAGAAAACTGATGCTTGTAAATTGTGCATTAATCTCTACAAGACACATGTTACACACAGGAACACAGAGACATGCATGCAAGTATGCACTCGCTCACTCACTCACTAAATTTCTAAAAAGAAAAGGAAAGCATTGCTGTGGGACAGTCCACTATGAATACATATTACTCTCATTTGCTAATAAAAAGCTGATTGGCCAGGATCCAGGCAGGAAGTATAGGTGGTGTGACCAAACTAAAGACGGTGGGGAAGAGAAGGATGGAGTTTAGAATCATCAACCAGACGCAGAGGGAGCAGGAGATGAACATGTCATGTTAAGAAAGGTACCGCCACACGGCAGAGCATAAATAAGGAATATGGGTTAACATAAAATATAAGAGCATTTATAAATAATACCAAGGCTCTGTGTGGTTATTTGGCAGCAGCTGCCAGGTCGGAAGCAAGAATTAGGGACAAAAATGTCTGCTTACATAGCAAAACCCCCGAGGAGACCTATGGAAGGTATGCAAGAAAGATGAGACTCCTGGCTTACAGACAGGGATTGTCACTGAGCTGTTTGCTTAAGCATTTTCCATGGGACATATGGAAGAATAATAATTGCACGAACAAATCACAAACTAAACCTATAGGGGACATTGTGCATGTTCTCTTGGCCTACCCAGGCTATGAGTACACACTGCTCATGTGCTGCTCATCCCACTTATCTCTGACTTCTTGTGAAGTTTCTGGCTTTGATTCATTTGTCTGCTGTTAGACCTTGGTGGTGTCTACCATCTAATAATTAGTCTATGATTCTCGAGGGTGGTCGCGACAGTTAACCATGGTGGGAAGTTAAGTGACATACTAGTTACTAAGGTACAGTAGAGTTTTCTATGGTTTCTCATTTCTATCTCCCTAGTTACAGGGCAGTTTGGGGTGGTCTCTGTTCTGGACCAGGTGAAGGCATTTTAGAAGCTGTTCTCACCTGTCACTTAATCTTGTACAGTTAGCTTACTTAAACAAGAATGCATAAAAAGATAACAGTGTCTTGTGTATTTCTCAGTAGGCTTGCCAGAACCCATCCAGACTCTGCTGAAACTGTCCTTGCATTCCCAGAGCTGTGCCTGTCCTCTTATCTGGTTAGCTTGAATATCTCTTATCCAAATGCAAGCCTCCTTATTTGTCTCCTTCTTCATTCCCAACCTGGCTTATTGAACTCTAGCATTCCTTTTACGCTAATATCTGTTCTCACTGTGGCAGTGAGAAGGGATAAATTGTATTGTGTGATTTATAGCTATGCTAAAGAAGTCCAGTAATGTCTGTCAGCTACAGGTATCTTAAACTGGTGTCACCCTTGTTCTTGACATTGAGTATAGATGTCATTCCCTTGGAATTCATTACTGTTAGTAAAATGTGTTATAATTGGTTAGCATTCAAGAACCTACTAATTAACGTATGTTAGGTCATTCTTAGCTTGCGAGTCAGTATAAATTAACCATCCATATGAGAACATTGATACAATAAAACTAAGCAAACAGCAACAATGAGGTCCAAACAAATTATAATTCGAAATATAAATTAATACATGGTTCTTTAAAGACATTGTTGGTAATGTTATACCCATGACAAACTTAGGAAAGTGGTTACACCCTGGGTTGTACATTAGGACAATCTTAATAGAACACAATAATCTGTGACTCCTAGAGCAATGATTGTAATGGTTTTTCTGGAACCTGAAGGAATCAAGCATACATTTGATGAACTTACATGCCTGCAGGCAATTAATGCACATAATCAAAAAAATTTTTTTGGTTTTACGAGACAGGGTTTCTCTGTATTGTTTTGGAGGTTGTCTGTCCAGCCCGGCCTCGAACTCACAGACATCTGCCTGCCTCTGCCTCCGGAGTGCTGGGATTAAAGGCATGCACCACCAACATCCGGCCTTTTTATAATCAAAAAATTTTAAAACATCTAAGAAAATGAAATAAATAGTGGCACTAGAGATTTCACAAAGTATAAATAAGGCACACAGTCATATGTGATAGCTATCCTTAAAACATAAGTCTTTAAATATATTTATTAAGCAAGTCATAATTTTAATAACATATTTGCATACAGTATATTTAGTTCCTAAAACTGTGCATATCAACAGTAAGTTTTATGAAAATTCCTATAGGTTCTTTTGTCCTCTCCATGAGGTGAACTTTATATTAAATTACATATGGAAAGGAAAATGCACATTTCTTGTCAAAGGTTTTTATTCCATCAATGCAAACACCATCAATAAATTCCCCAGCACAGATATTTGCATTCTGTATTGGAGCCATGGGTACTTCTTAATTACAAAGTTGAGCTGGTTATGGTTGAAGACGTTGAAGACATGTACGACAATGTAGAGTGTCACATTTAGCACTTTGAGCAACCAATCATGAAGCAGATAAACAGTAACCAATGGGAAATCTAAATGGAGAAAAGAGAAGCCAGGAAAGTACTAGAAAGCTAGACATGGAAAGGACTTACAAAGACAATTCTAGGGATGGAGAGGTGGATCAACATTTAAGAACAACCAGGTTCAATTCCCATCACCCACTCAGTGGTTCAAAATCATCTGTATTTCCAGTTCCAGGGGATCTGGTGCCTTCTTCTAAACATGACATACCCTCTTATGACCCTAATAGGTGCTACATCTGCACAGACATACGATCT